TAATGATGTTGCATTTCGGTTCGAAGTTGCTGTGTCTACCACTTAGCGTACTCTGCGCCCTCGACACGAGACCGAGATTAACAAAGTTGGATCGTTTAGAGTGGCGCTAGCCTGCAGTGCGGGCGTCTTATCAGGACGAGTTAACATTAACAAGCTCGTGATCATCTGTATTCTATATTCCGCCGCCGTGTTTGATTTGGAGCTAGAGTCGTCTCTCACTCTTAGTACAAATTTCTTTCTTTTCCCAGCCTTCCGCTGCCATAAAAATTAAAGATGGCAGCTATAATTATTCCCAAGATAATACTGAGCACTTGCCTACTAAGATAATGCCTGCTCTGTAGAGTACAAGAGTGGCGCCGTCGGAAAAAAGAGGCGCTTAAATCAAAGGATTGACAAGCTGTCAGATGTTTTCCCCTAGTTTTTAGTAATTTGGAGATTTTTTTTCGAATTAATTGAGAAGTACAATCACGGGTTAAAACGAAAACGATGAATACAAGTCAAACCGTGTTTTTTCTGGGTGTTAATGATTTCCTTTAGCTTTCATTTTCCAAAACAAGTTTGTTAGCAGGTATTAGCAGTTGGAGAAACGGGAAACTCTCGATTTTCGAAAATCAAAAAGGCACTGTTTATATCTTTCGAGCTATTGTGTTCATCTCGCAAAGAAGGTTGCTAAAAAATGATTTCGTTTCGACAAGAACCTTGTAGGACTTTTAGATACTCATGGCTGGATGAGGAACATCGGACGAGGATCAGTTTTTAGTACTGAAAACACGAAGAGTTCAACGAACTGAAAATACAAAGAAACTGATTATTATCTTCGTTTTTGCAAGTGACGAAGCGATTTGGTAAGAAGTCTGAAAACAAAGGGATGTTAATTTCTGAAAGCCTCATTTTACATGAATTTTGAACTCTCTATTGTAGTTATTCGAATCGTCTTAAGAACAGCAAAGTAAACATTGGTTGGTGATACTGGGCTTTAGTTTTCACTGGCGGCATAACTATCATCGTCATAACGGCATCGAGAACACATCCGAGGCATGATGCAAGATCTAGAAGAGAATTTCATCAGCTGCAGATTACTGGAATTGAAAATAATGGCCAAAATATAAGGAATGAATATTTCCGAACGACTGCTTTGACGTACGCTTGATTTTTCTTCTCCCAGAAGCATTATTATACAGGTAATCATAGTCATAATAAAGCTTTCGGTTATTTTCTTAGAATATAGTTGGTTCGTATCGTGTCTCGATGTTCTTTCCACATAAAGCAAACACCCCTTATAATTATGATATGATCATTATGTCGGTAACAGATCCAGCTTTAACCATGTTAGTTATGTCGAAAGTTATATTTATTTTCCTCCTTCCAACGTTGATTAAATAGTGTTCATATGTTTGGTTAATATTTCCAATTATTCGGCAATTTTAGCCAGGTCAATGAAAACAGTAAAGGTTTTATATCGAATATTTTAAATGCTCTTGAACGCCTGCTGTAAGCTTTAGATTCTGCTCAATTTTTTGCTTTGGAGATCAATTCTGAAAGATTTTGTGATGACGCAAAATGAGGACACAAATCCGGAGATAATCTTTTATTTAGCAAATAAAGGACAAGAATGAAGTGCGAATGAAAACGATTTGAAGGAGATTTTCGCAGTTTACAGCCAAGAAAGTTGATATTATGGAAGGACTCTCACAAAGTAAAAAACACAAAGTTGAAGATATTCTTAACAATCGGCAAAACAAGAGATTAACGTTTCCTGGAAAGATTACAATTATAGAGACGTTGGCTGCATCCCAATTGGTCTACATTTTGTACTCATTACGTACATGTTTCAAATCGTTAAAAGAAATAAATGATTTGCTTTTCAAATTTCTCCGGGATGGAAAAAGCGACAAAATCAAACGATGTTACTTGGACATCATGGCATTTAATAAGTCTTTAAAGATCGCGTGGATAGTAAAGTATATTTCTGATGATTGTAAATCTAAATGGAAAAATTTGGGGGATTTCTTTCTTTCAAAATGGAGAGGAAAATTAGTTTTTCTTGGGAACTTGAGAAAAAAAAACGCTATCAAACATGATATCAAGGAGGACTTCCTCCGAGAACTTATCGAAATCTGGGTGGACTTTAATTTTAGAGACTCTTTCCTCTCCAAACACGACTTTTGTAGTAGTAGTAGTTGTATAATATGGAATAACTCATTGGTCAGAATTGCTAATAGGCCTTTTTTTTTTTTTACATGCACTGAGCAGAAACTGGGGTACAAAATATCAAAGATCTTGTTAACGATGGTTTTTAAGGTCATAGCCTATGGAGAGTTTAGAGAGAAATATTGCTTATCTGCCTCTTTCCTTGAATTTCATGGAGTGACCGCGGCCATAAGGAGCGCTATGAAGTCTTTGAAATTGAAAACGCCAGGTGGAAAGGATCAGGGGTTTTCGGTGCAAAAACTGATTGCAGCAACCAAGCCGACTGAATTAGCGTATAAAATTTTAATACCAAAAAATTATACTAGCCCCCAAAAGAGTCAAGAAAAATGAGTAAGGGAATGTGACCTTGAAGTGGTGGAGGATTTGAGCTGGAAGTCGATTTATTTACTACCAAGGTTGTGTACGCTCAGTATTAAGATAACGAACTTCCAGTTCAAATTTCTCCACAGAAGTAAAGTAATGAATTCCTTTCTACCTAAAATAGGAATTTCGGAGACTGCTCTCTGTGCATCCATCTTTTCTGTGAATGCTCGGTAACGAAAACCTTTTGGGGAAGGGTTCATTGTTTTTTCGTTTCAATTCATATGATACCAGCCTCACACGTTTTGGATATCTATGAATGTTTAGGTTTTAGAGGAGAGAAAAAGGATATTTTAGTAAGCCATTGTTTGCTCCTCGCAAGGTATTATCTTTATTACTGTAAATATAAGAACATATCTCCATCTATCAGAGAATATGCGCAACTGAAATTGAAAAACAAATATCTATCGTGACTGATTCACAGAACAAATTTCAACTGAAGTGGGACAAAATACTTCATGCTCTAGAATTGCTATATAGTTTGCGGGCGGGCTCCAAATATGAGCCTGCTTGTAGGATATATCTTACTCACCTTATGCTGATCGTAAGCCTCAATTTTTAGCTAAACGCTGTACTTTTGGGTTTTTTTTTTCAAGCTCTTACTCCTATCTATCCCAACCACAATTTAGCCTTTTTGTCTTTCGTAACTGTTATTTTTTTGTGAATAAGTTTCTCTTTTTTTTGTGCGTAAATGATGTGCCACTAAATATGTGTGCATTATCACATTGTACGTAGTGTAAGTAGAACAATGTAAGTAGTATAAATATTAATTGTATCTTAAGAATACTGTAAGTAAGTAGTGTAACGCAATGTACTTAGAGAGTCTCGTGAAAGGAACGGGACCATGTAGAAGTCGGCAGTTTTTTTTAATGTTGTGTCTTTTTTCGAGAGTTAACCTCGCCATCCTTTAAAAATGCTTTATTAAAAAACATTGACATAGATAAGCGAATGTTTCATAGATTTTAAAAAGGGTATGTCAGATGAATTGGCTTTTTTGGGTCAGCCTGTAAAACACACCAGCGTAGAAAGAACCATATCGTAGTCTCGTACCGAAATCTGTTTTTAGGTTGAGTTTGAGGAGAGTAGTTATTAAAACTTCTGTGGTGCGCTCGATTACGTAACTTTTGCGATCCTTTTAATCCAAGATTATAATTAACATAATTGTTTAAATCTCTGCTCTAGGATGAATATTCTAGTGTTAATTTACCTTTTACTATCTCGGCTGTTGTCATATTTTCCGTTGGCAAATTTTTTAATAGGCATCAGCTTCGCAACGGACACTCAATAGGACAAGGGAGCTTTAGTGATCACATCCCTTAAGTAAAGCGATTCGAATTTAAATGAGTTTCTTTTTCAAGTAATTCAGGCAAGTTTTTCAATGACTGTCCATTCTTATCCTGGGAACAGAATTTTGTCCAAATATTTAATGCAAACGATGTCATATTCATTAGGAGGATGTCAAGACCGACCATTGTTGTAACAGAACCCTCGTCAATTCGTGTAATTACCAAGTAACTAACGTACATTGGTCACAATAAGAACAAGAGAGAAGGATTTTCAGCCCTATTTCACCGGATGTAAGAAATATTGCATCGGTAAAACTGTTCTTGGTGTTGTGCGATCAAATTAGATATCCAAGTTTGGCTTTCAGGAAAGGTGTCGCAAGTTAAGAATTACTAGCCAGCTTCGAAACAATTTGCCCCTCATGTGACCGGGCGATTCATTAGTCATCCTCAGCTATATTAATCATCAAATCAAGAGTTTCTACATAAAAGTTTGAGCAGTGTCCGTTGGTGTTAATCATGAACGAGACTGCTGAATCACATCACGATGAACACGGACATTTTGAAGGAATTCCAGCAGCATCAGTCACACTTTTGGCAGGAATTTGTAGCGCTTTGCTTGGCTTCGTTTCATTCGCAACAAACAGTGTTCTTCTATGGACTCTTTTCAAAGATCCGTACATGTATTTCCGAGTGCGCCCCACAACTTTCCTCGTGGTAAGCCTCTCGCTAAGTGATTTACTTGGAGGAAGTTTCGCGCAACCTTTGTACTCAACATACATGCTTTGCCTTCCATATAAAGTCAATTTACCAAGCCTACACAAGATTTCTACTGTTTCTTCTCATATTAGCACCAAAATATCAATTTCAACGGTCGTGGCGTTATCAGTGGATAGATTTCTGGCTATAAAGCTTATTTGGAAGTATAGGACGCTTATAACATTGCGAAAGGTCGTCATATGTAACATTTTGATATGGCTCATTTGTGGGCTGTTTGAAGCATTGCACTCCATAAGTACATCAAAGGAAATATTCCACACAGTGGATCTTCATATTCAGTCTACGGCTCCACTAACAATACTTTGCGTTGTCAACGCAGCGACTTACATTGAATTCCGCCGATATTCAAGAAAAGTCACGTTTCTGCAACAAGACAATGGAGGAAGATCGCGCGTTTTTGCTCGGAACATCCGTGTGGAAAAAAAGATCGTTTTGACAATTATTCTGATCACAATCGTGTTGTTTATATCACTTATGCCCTACCTAATTGTTACTAACTTGGAGGAGTGGTGTCCCAAGGAACAAAGCAATGTGTGTGATGGACCAGCTTTTGAAATATCCAGAGCTCTATCAATGTCGATGTTGTGCGTAAGCTGCGCTGTAAATCCGTTTCTATACGCGTGGAGAATACCGCAGTATCGACAAGCGCTAAGAGCTGTTTGCCGCACAACTTTCAGCAGGTTTGCTTGAGGGAACCGAACTACGTGTATTAGTAAAGGTTTATCAGCCTTTCCTACTACTTCAGACTCTGGAAGTTAATCGAACAGAACACTCCTGCAGGGGATCAAATTCAACCAAAGCAAGAGTGACTGAAATCGCTAAGACTTAGGCACGAGACCAAAATGCTCTTAATGGAGCGCAATTAATTTTTCTGTTTATGGAGCGTGTAAAAGGAGATATCAATATCTTTGTTCAATCCTCCTCGATCTTTGTAATTCAGAATTTTGTATCTTTTTTTTTCAAAGGGTTAACAGGCTATAAAGTGTGTGAAAATATTAAAGCTTGTCTCAAAAGCACAAGTCGTAATTTTTAAAGCTCGCTTGTAAAATGTCTCAAAGAGGAAATTCAAAGCTTAACGACAAAAAAGAAAAAACACCTTTTAAGTATTTGCATTTTTCATTATTTTTTGGGATGACGCTGAATGAAAACTTTGTAAATTGAATGCGATTGAAGATAAACAGCGGAAATGGAGCTTTATTTCTCAAATTATAACGTATCTGTGAACAATGAATGTTGATTCTGGGTTGTAAAGACTGTTGATCACACGAAAAAAGTCTTAGAAATGTGATACGGCCAAATTTCTTGGCTTTCTGATGTGAAATCCGAATGATGTAAAAAAACTGTTCAATTTTTTTTTTCAGTCAGTTACTCCACCCAACATTGCATCGAGAAAATTTTGTTTAGGTGCCAGAAAATTCAGTGATCAGCGTGAGACGAGTTTATCAAAACGTTTTAATCGGTTGTCTTTCGTGCGCAAATGACGATGTCTGGTGGATTTCCTTAAGAGTAAATATACATCCATTGTAAAAGTAAAAAGCAAGGATGACAGGTGCTCTACATATCCGCTTTCAAATGTGAAAAACTATGGCTTAATTAAACTGTTGTCAGATTCTATCAACAACTTCGTATGGGTTAAATCACGCTTTGAAAATTTGTTTATACACGGAACCAGACGGCGAGATCATATTTATCACTATTTAGGTTAACATTTTCGCTCTTTCCACTGAGCGGCAATCGGACATATTTCACTTCCCGGCGGCAAATAAAGACACAACTACCGATTTTATACTCCGATCGGGGCGACCGGCGGAAATCGCCGGGTGTGCCCGGTGCGGGGACTGCGATTTTCGCCGATCGCAGCGATCAGCGTATAAAATTGCCAATATCTATGGCATGTCACCTAATAATGATGTTTGGTTAACAAAGTTGTATCGTTCAGAGTGGTGCTAGCCTGCAGTGCGGCAATTGGACATATTTCACTTCCCGACGGCGAAAAAAATGACACACTTAGCGATTTTATACGCTGATCGTGGGGCTATCTATAAAATAAAATGAGGAATCTTTAAAAGCGGGAATCTTCAAAACGGGGAATCTTTAAATGCGGGAATCTTTAAAATGGGGAATCTTAAAAAACACTTGCCGATTTCTCAGCGAAGGACAAGAATTTTGTGGAAAATACTATGCTTATGATCGTCCAACTGTAGTAAAAGTCGCTTTCATGTTATGGTGATCATGCCATATCAGGCAGTAAAGCAGCCAAGAAATGTTTTGAAAGCTTTCTGGAAACGTAAACGAGTATAAAGTTTCGAAATCTGAAGCCTGCTACAAGGAGTATTTTTGTTTACAGTATTCAGCTTTCTACACATTTGTTCAAGCGTGAAACATGCAAGTTTGTGTACGTACAGTCACATTACCGTGTTTATGTTTCTGCACGTACATATTACCTTTAATCAAGATTTGTTTTCCGCCAAATCCTGTTTAATGTCGTTTGTAAAGCTTTCTCACGCGTTCAAATTAGTCGGTGCTAAACAGCAGCGCGACAGTTTGTCTAGACAAAGCTGTGTATTTTACGCTTGAACAAACAGAAAAATTGAGCCATTCATTACGCTTTGTTAGGAAAGGAATTGCCGCAACAAAACATGTTGATCAAAACAAAGAATCTGATACTGAAATTTATTAGTGACAGCCGGAAACGGGGAGAAAATGAGCCTTGACAAAAGCCTACAAATTCACGCTGAAACTGAAAAATTATTTTGAACCCTGAATAATACCATTCTCTCATTCCCCATTCTCCTATTCCCTGTTCTTAATTTTAAAGATAGTCCTGATTTAGGGCTGTCCACAAGTTGCTCCAATTTTCTCAAAAAGTTGCTCCAAAGTTGCTCCAAAGTTGCTCCAA